ATTAAAAAAAAACAACGGATTACTTAAAATAATAAATCAATCGATAGTTCGAAATCAAATACAATTTCGAAATAGTAAAGATATTCCATCCTACTTTCTAAAAGTATTTACATCTTATTATCATTATTAATTTAAAAAAACAAATGCGATAAAACAAAGTTTTCCTTTCTTATTGTTAATTGGGTAAACATAAGTGTGCGTGTGTGTGTACATATGTATGAGGAAAAAATTAAAATATACATGATAATCAAATTTATATATTTATATTTATAGAAATTATTATATATATAAATATATTGTAATAACAAAATTGTGTATTTTCATTAAAAAAAAATTGTAATTTTATTTATTAATAACCTTGAATTTTGTATACGTTTTATAAAAATATAATTATTTTACCTGATAACACACAATGTCAATTTTTATTTAGAAATAATTTCGTGAATTTATGAATATTAGAATTTTCAATAATTATTAAAATTTGTTATATATATATTGTACATCCAAATTAATTATTTATTTTAAATCTTATTTTTTTTCTGAATCACTTTTAGTTCAACATTTACATATATATTTCTAAAAACAAAAATGAACCAAGATATTACTCGACAGATTTAATTTAACATTTTTTTTTAATCTTTGCATTTATTTTTATTCATAAAATAAAGAAGAGAAAAAATTCTCGTCAGATTTCATTGAAAGAATGATCTTACACCTGTACACCCAATGATTCGAATTAATTACTATTACCAATCCAACACTTATTTCCATTTACATGAAAGGAAAGGAAAAAGAGAAAGGAAGACAAAACAAATAAATAAAAAAGAGAATTAATTATTAATTGTAATATATAAAAAAAAAAACTTACGCAGCCGTATTCCTATTACTGTGCTTGACATTGCCTTCGTTAAGAAATTCTTCACCACTATTTGACGAAGATTGTTGAATTAATTCGAAACGTTTATCAAGGCCATCGATTAGAGTGTCGTTGTTCAGGAACGGCATTATCTTCTCTTCTTTTTTTATCAATGAAAATTTGATAACGATAACGGTAATAAACCAAACAATTGGAAATTAAAGAAAATAAGAAAAAAAAAAAAAAAAAAATTATACGAAATAAAGAAGAAATCGAGGTAGAATAAAATCGGTGCACAAAAACTTATGTCTCTCTCCCTCTCTCTCTCTATTTACGTTTAAAATATTATATATTTATTCGCGCACTTTCGATATTGATACGATTATAATTATTATTAATACCCCGATACACATATATGTATATACTCTTCTTTTTTTTTTTTTATATTTAATTGATACTTAAAATATATACACAAATATAATTCGCACGAATAATATTAAAAGTAGAACATTACCGACAAAGAAAATTATGTTATTATATCGCTTTTATTTGAACTCGTCTTGTCGCGACTCCTTTTATAAGCAAACTCAAATGAGATAGAAAAAACATTATGAAACTACAACGAGACGACCAATGATCTAGGGAGTTCACTTCGCTCTCCTACCAATGGTAATACACGCTTTTAAAAGTTACTGACTGAAAGTGGGGAGAACGTATCATGATAACCCGTTACGAAGTAATTGCCCTAATTGTTGACAACAGGCTTGAATTCTCTTATATTTATTTTGATAATATCATACTCTTTCTCCCTCCACACTCCTCCTCATCCCCACCCCCCACCCCCTCCTCTCTTTCTCTCATTTATTTTCTATTCCATTTTACTTATTATTTTTCTTATTTTAACTGAATCGTTCTTTCATTTTTTTCACAAAACAAGTATTTCTTCTCTCACTCATTCCCCCACTTATTCTATTTCTTTCTCGCTCTAATTCTCTAGTATAAATATATACGAAATGGTATTAATATGTTGAGAAACTCTAAGCACTATATTATATTTTATAATACTAAATAAAAGAATGAAAAAAAGAATGAGAGAGAGAGAGAGAGAGAGAAAGTGAGATATCTCATATTTTCTTTTTGTATTAATTTCATATGCATCATCATAGTGAGGAAGGACGGAATGTTTTGGAAAATTTTCTGTAAAAATGATTTATTTCCCAATGATTATAGATATATCAATCGTGTAAACAAATATCCACTATGTTTAAACTCGTAACAACAATGACGAATCGATTAATGAACTTTGATTTGTTGAATTTCTAGAATTATTATTATTTGTCCCCTTTTTTTCATTTAATTTTTCTTTAATTTTAGAATTTTCTTTTCCAGAAATTGTTTGTTTTCTTTTTCTACGTTGGATTTTTATACACCATATTTTATTTTATTTAACTATTCTTAGTTTTCTTATGTTATATCTTTAACTATATCCTATCCTTTGAATTTAATAAGCATCTAATCTTAATTCTACACTGATTAATATTTAAATGATTAGAAATATTATGATTCCGTAACGTGTTTGTGTGTGTGTGTATAAGATCTCTTATATCACCAAACTTGACATTTCAATCTAAGACGAGGAATATATAGATACATAGAAATATATAAGGTGTCTCAAATTATCATAGATTATCCCAGATAATCTGTTACTCTCGTTATAAGACGTACAATATTAAAATTATTCAAAATTTAATTAAATAACATTTTAATATAACAAATTATGTTAATTGTGAATATAAACTAAACCATTTAATTCGCACAACTGATTGTTAAAATAATTATGATATTCGATCAATAGAATTCATGCATTTCTTATTATATCATTCTTTCCTGGTTTTATTATTAACAAATATACACGGTGTCTTAAAAATCACTTTACCAAGCATAAAAAAAAACAATATGAATAATCAATAATTTTTTTATTTCAGGATACACGAATCTTTAGTTAATGTTGTTAACCAACAACAAGGAAATGGTCCTACAAAAAAGCAGCCACTTTAAATAATTGAATAAAACAAAATACCGATTGTTCTGTTGGATAAAGCAACTCTCGGGATACCCGGTATATTAATCTATTTTTTTGTATATTGCAAATAAAAGTATTTAGAAATAAAATAAAATTTTTACATATGACCACACGATGGATAAACCTACCCTCCTCCTCTTCACGCTTCCCAACTGACACCTAATCTCTTTTATTACAATTATTTTCTTGTCAAGGTTATCTAGTTAAGGTAACCAATACGTTCGGTAATTAATTATCTAATACCTTTGTTTACTGAAAAGTGCGCATTATCAATCATTACTTTCTCGTTTTGTTATCTTCTATTAGTAATAATTTGAATCTCAAAATGGGATCAAAATAATAATTGTTTCAATATGATTTTTACGTCATGTATATTCGACAAAATTTCGAGTAAATAAAAAATATCGATGAACTTCCGAAAAACGATCACCTTTTGTTAAACCGAGATAACTGAATTGAAATTATTTCTCCGATGGTGATAATAAAAATTATACGCAAATAAAGAAAAATTAATCTCCGATCGCAAATTCTAATCATCCTTATTGCGATAAAAATATCTTAATTCGGTAAAATTATATTCCTGTTAAACAATCTGTTCTTATATATATATATTCGATCAATTAAATATATTATTTTATTATAAAAAATTTTTTTCTTACTGGCAATAAAAAATCACGTTTACTAATCCGATAAATTAAAAACAAAAAAATAATATACAAATATTTCCCCTTTACCCTGTGCGTGAGTGATCAATGTGTGATCTTTGATTACTATACTAACTTATACTATACATTTGATCAAAGTAAAATGAATTTAATTATCAGCTCTTATTATCGATTGTCAGATATGATTTATTTCGTTTGTTTTTGTTTTCTTATGTTTCTTTTTTATCTTCGGAAAAATACTGCACTTTTTTTCTTTTTCTTTTCTTTTCTTTTCTTGTTCCTATTCGTAATATCGTATGATCACATCGATCATTGGATTATATTGTTTCCATTCCGGGATGTTTCTTTTTTAAATCATTATTTGGTTTGCGGTTATTTATAATTTAAAAAAGAAGAATTTAACATTGATTAAAAGTATAATTTATTCATAGGATTATAATAAAATTGTTATACGTATATATCGTATTGCGTGACACCCAATGGTTAAGCTTCGAAAAAGATAAGTAAAATATATATATATACGTATATATTATTACGGAAATAATACAGGCATACGAATGATAACGTCGACCCCTCCTGAATTTGACGTAAATAAAACCGTTGGGGTTCTTCCTTATCATTGACCTCGAATAAATAATCTGACTCAAGTAAAAAGCTTACAAAAAAACATGATAAACGTTCCCCCCAAGAGCGATCCGTTGCACATACGCAATTGCATTTTTTCGAAATTAGAAAAAAGTAAAAGAAAAATACGAATAAGTTTCCGTTCGATCTTTCCATCGATCTTATTTATTTCGTCATTTTTTATTTTGATCATTAAGAATAACAAAAGGAATATCAAATAAATTTATTCGCATAAATTCTCAGGCAAAATTTCTTACAACGTGGAAATATTTTTATCACATTTTTACATAATATTGAGAAAGAATTACTTAAAAGATATTACTTTTTTTCCTTATCTTCTTTAAAATATAAATTCGAATTTTTAGAAAATATTTATTATTCATGGTTGAATTTTTATCTATCTTTTTTTTGTAAACAGATGATGTTTACATTAAATTTTTTTCTGTGAGGGGAAAAACCCGAGAAAGTTCTTTAGTTGCATTATTTGTTATATAAATAGAAGTTTACTATTTTAAAAAATAATCTTTGATGACGTGCATCCTAATTCTTCTCAGTTATATGAAATACAATATTTTAACTTTACATGCTATAAGAAAATATAAATTATTTTCTGAACACCATGAATATGCAAAAAAATATCGGATATTTTTATTTAATCAATCAATAAAAATGATTCAAATATTCCCGCGCATTGACCCGGCCGATAAAAGTGACATCTGTGTCGAAGTGGCGAAAACTTTAAACCGAACGATATACTATCGGTAAAAACGCATTTGACATTATCAACACAAGCGATTTTTAGATATTGACATTTACAAAGGTATGTACCGTTTTGTTGAGCCTTTTAATTCCATTTGTAAAAGAATAAGATTATTTGTTAATTTATTTGTGTGCTCAGTCTTATCGATAAAATATAATAACGTTAAAAATTTTAGTAATCAAATTATGTAAAATTTCAAACAAACAAATTTGAAACTTATTTACAAAAGTAAACAAGCTACAACATTATTTTTAAGTATATAAACAATTACATTTTATATTTGTTATGAGTAATAAGAATTATTTACTAATTGTAGAAAAATTTAAATAATATCAAAAGAAATAAAAGATTACGAAGGATGTCTACGCTGGAGGATAAAATTTTAGGAGAAAAAACGCACTACTATTGTAGTAGTTCAAGTGAAGATGAAAATGATAGCGAAGATTCTAACAAATATGTTGACAAAGAAAACAAATATTCAAGGAGTGCTTACAACCTTCTACCGTCTTACTCCAATGCACCATCTTATTCTGAATGGGATGGATCATCAAGTAATACAGGACCTAAAGGTGTTATTAAAGTAAGCATCAGATTAAAAAACATGAATATATGTCTTCCAAGATAACTATTTTCACTAATTTTATATTTATCTGTAAAGGATTGGCAAAGATTTAAACAAATAGAAACAGAAAAACAAGCAATGCTTGACAAAGAAAGACTAGAATTAATCAAGAAAGTAAGTTTTACGTGTCGCACTGATTTAGATGAAGAAAAAGCAAAACTGGAAGAAACAGATCCAGAACTAGCTGATCTATTGTCAGATGAATTTTTAATAACTTATGAAAAGCAAAGAATGAAAGAGATGCTTGCAAAAGCAGATAAACTACGCTTTGGACAATTAATTAAATTAGAAACTGCAGATCAATTTGTAGATGCTATCGACAATGAGGATAAATCTGTAACAATTATTGTTCATATATATGAAAACAAAGTTTTTGGATGCAAAGAAATGAATAGATCTTTGATAACTCTTGCTAAGGAATATCCTAGCATCAAATTTTGTAAAATTTCAGGTACATTTTCTCATTCATTTATATATTTATCTCAAAATATTATATTATTTGTTATTATAACTAATCATATAATGAAAAATATTTAGGATCCGTAGCTGGATTGAGTAAACATTTTAAAGAGAAAGGTGTTCCTGCTTTATTAGTCTACAAACAAGGACAAATAATAGGAAATTTTGTCCAACTGACCGAACATTTGGAATCACATTTTATTCCTGCTCGTATAGAAACATTTTTAATTGAAAATGGAATACTACCTGATAGATGCGGTATACGAAGTAGCATTATTTCAGAAATGACACATGAGTAATTTTAATAAATACTTTGTAATGTAATAAGTTAAAAGTATATTTTTAAGGATCATTTCTTCTTCTATAAATCTCCATATTAACAATAATCATATATCTGCAGGCTCATTTTCTCTATATTGTTTATAAATTATATTTATTTCTATTAAGTTGTACCGATTATAATCAAAACAATAATAGTAATAAAATTTTTTAATGTTATCTAAATATAGCATTCAATCCAAACAAAGAAATAATTACAACTTAACATATTCACTACCAGTGTCACGTGTCTGTGACATTAATTTCCATTAAGAATCCAGTGTCAAAAATTTATGACTTTAATCAATGCGAAAGATAAGTTCTGAGTTGTAGCTAAAATCTCTCTTCTGTTGCACGGTAGCTAGTATGTTAAAACATATAATCTTAAATAAGTAGAAACAAAATAATACATATATATAAAAATATAAATTTTTTCTTAAAGCATTTCCATTATCTGTTTTTTCTTTTTAATAGCGCTACATAGGTGTAAATATGTCTTTAATATATTATCATATTCTGTATTTTGTAAATCAAGATAAAGGTTCTTCAAATTAGTTTTCCTTTTAATTTCATTACTTAGTTCTAACATCTTGTCATCTAAAGTATTATTTAATATTTTGTACGAATCAATCGTTTTGGACGTTTCCGTATACATTTTGGTTAAACAAGTTAATTTAGCCACTTTAGCTTGTACTTCAACTATTTGCGATTGCAATGATAAGATTTGTGCCTTTTTATTATAAACTTCATTGACATCTTCATTTTTTACTTTTCTCCATTCGTTGATCAAATCTGTACTTTGTATTAGACGATCTTTATAATGCGCACAAAGACTATCAAATTTATCTTTCCATTTTAATAGTTCTAAATCTGTGTTTTCTGATAATTGGTTATTAGTGTTGAGACTGTTTAATTTTTGAAGTTCTTTAACATTACCACCTAATTCCTCATATCTGTAACGTCATCGAACATTAATATTATTTATCTAAAATATACAAATCACAACTACACGAATAAATACTTACTTTAATAGAAAATCATGTAATTTTTCCTGCATTAATGCATCAACACAAGCTTTTACATTTAATCTTTCTTCATAACTTAATTTATATTCAGGAAAATCTTGAATTCCCAGTATAGTTAAATCTTGTAATCCTTGTTTAAGAGTTATCGAAATGTCTTTTATTTTATTTATTTCAAATGATTGTAAGAATCCTTTTAATTTGTCTTTAGTTTCATCTGGTAATGCAATATTTTTATTTAAACATATTTCCTCTAAACATTTATAAATCAACTGTACTTTTGCATGTTCACTGATGCTATTCTGACAATCAATCAATAATTTCGTAGAATCCCTAAGATCAGTATGATCTTGTTCCGGTGTAGTTGTAGCTTTACTACTTTGAATAAGACTAGAGTGATGATCTAGCTCGTTGGAAAGTAAAATTGAATCTAATCTACCCATTAATTGCGAACTTCGTGAAATTCGAGATATAATAGATATATCTTTAAAAAAAAAAATAAAATCAAACATTATTAAATCTACATATTAAAATATATTTCTTTAATAATTTATATTTATTTTAATTACCTGATAATTGACTTAAATCGAGATTATTCATGATTTGTACCATATATCACTTAACGAATATCGAATACTCAATAACTAAAACGAAAGTATCAACACAATATCTTATTAAACAAAAATAAATGCTTTGACACTTTGATGAACATTTAAAATATATATTAATCCAAACCGGCGTTGCTTGCATATAACAACGCCAATTGAAACAGTTAAGTTATTAAATAAGAACCAATAAAAATAGAGAGTTTGAACCTATGTTTATTGTATTGGTATTAATTGAAAATCAGATGTTTTGTTCTTGCAGTTGGTTGCACTGTTACGACTTAAGCGACAATTTAGAAAGAATATGAACTACAAAGCGCGAAAACTTGACAGTGCCGCTCCCTACAATGCATTTGAATTGCAATGCGCCGAAATACTTCTAAACATTCGTAAATAAAAATTATATTAATTTGTTTAAGAATGCAAAGAAAGAATCTATCCACTACCCATTAAAACTATAATTAAAAATACTTATACGTCAAAATATAATAGAAAACTGATTGGAAATAAATGAAAATCTAATTGTGAAATCAAAATTTTCTAATAAAACAAACAACACTGAATCTAATTCGAGTTTGTTTTAATTTCTTTACGCTCAATCGATGACTCTAAAGCCAATATATATAAGTTTCTATTTATTATTAAGTTTTAGATAATTAAATATTTTATTTTTTTAGTGTCTAAATACGTGTGTGCCTTCAGAAATGCGTTTTTTACACATATATATTTAAAAAAGTAGAAGAAAATCAAAACGAGTAGATGATGAATCAAACGATGATCACCTGTAACAAAAAGAAAACTATATTAATCATACAATCAAGTGATAATTCAATAGCCTAACATACAAATCGTCCAATTCGCAGATGCACTTTTCAACTGAATTCTATATTTATTTTATCAAATCTCTATTAAACGTTGCAATGAAATTCAATTTAAACGCGTGATTTTACATTAAAAAATATAATGAATTAAAAAATAGGAAAAATAAAAATATTTTAATAAGTTTCTTATAAAAATAATATCTATTAATATTATTATAAAATACTTTTGAACTACGTTATATACAAAAGAAAAATTGCAAATTTAATAAAATACAATCACAGTAAAAAATTCTTAAACACGAACAAGAAAAAAGAAATAACTAATATTTACTGAACGTTAAATTAACTTAAAAATTTAATAATACGAGAATTTTAATATTTTTAACTCTAACTAACTAAAACCTTATGTACCTTTTGGACGATATGGCACACAAATTTGATGTGCCAAGGAGATGGAATGGGTCCATCATCTCCAATTACAACTACATATTAATGACGAGCAGAAAAGTAATATAATAAAATATGACTAGAGAGCTATTCTCGAAAAGTTCGAACTTGCTGTTGAACCTTTGAAAATAACTCAATAGTCTGTGTAGTTGCCCACTTGATACCACAWWTWWGTGGGGGCCTCTTCGGCMTTAGCCTCTTCGGCATTTAGCCTCTTCTTTCTTCATGCCCTAAACGCTGCTGTGAGGCTATTTTTAACATTTACTCGAATGCCTCAACAAAAATTTGATCTAATCGATGAACCTATTATTAACACTTTGCATTTAAAAAATTAAATAATATCAAACAAAAGCAGAAACTTTGTAATACATCTTATGGTCTTACTTTTTTACTCGACCAGTTTTATCTTTTATCTTTACTCTACTTTGTATTTACTATGCATATATAACAAATAAAGTATTTTCAATAGGAATTACTAAAGAGCAAAGCGTTAATATACTTAATATTAAGTAAGTATCCAACGTATTCAACTATCTTCACTTTTTCGAAAAAAAATTAATTTTAAAGAAAACGCAAAGACATTTAAATCGTTCGATACTGATTTATATCTCGCGGTACAGAGTATCAGCAATATACGGAAAAAATACAAGAAATATTTAAATGATAAATGAATCTAAAGGCTGCTGAGACTTTGTATAGTATTCGGAGAAGAAATTGTCCACTCCTGAGTGGAAATTACAATCACGCGACTTCTCCGGTCTCTACCTACTTACAAATTAAATAAACATTCACACCTAAGTATGCTACCTGCCTTTATATTGGCACTATTTAAAAATAACAAACGTACATACATACCCACCCACTCACTCCACGATTCTCTCACATACCACCAGGGTGCAAAAGCCTAAACTAGAGAGCAT